TTTTTCTAAAGTGTTAGAAATATACACAAAATATTATAAAGAAATATTTATAAGATAAATATTTTACTATATATTTATTACTCCCAAAGTAGTATTATTATAGTTTTTACTATCCTATATTAAACTTGCTAGCACAAGTTTAATCTTGGACTCCGGAGCAAGTTCGTGTGGATACGTTGGAGGCTTCATACGTTTGGCGCTACGTTCATCTCCTCAAAACCATCCCCGACCGTTCCTCCGTTCTCCGTTTTCACCGTTAAGATAAATTTCTTACTATAGCTAGTAATTTACGTAAGTTGTTCTTGGGTGGAATCGAGTTTTGGACTATAAATTTTTGTTTTTCGCTGCGTTATCCAAGCCTCGTTTCCCAACACTTCATTGTACTCCTCCTCGAGTTTCTTTACTCTTTTCTTGCCCACCTTCTTCGTTGGGAAAGAAACTCCGTTGTTGATTGCCATCCATAGTGTGTAATCAACGGATTGAATGAAGATTCTCATTCTTTCTTTCTAATAAGAGTAATTTACTCCATTAAAGAGTGGTGGCCTCGTTAAAGAGTGTCCTTCGCTAAAAGATCATGCGCTCAACATTCTCAAAAGAAATATAGATCGTTCTCTCAACCCGTTAAGGCTTTTAGAGAGTTAGGCTCTGATACCAATTGTTAGAATAAGTGACCAACGCTAGAGGGGGGGTGAATAGTGTTTGATCGTAGAAGTCGCAGGAATAAAAAATTAAGAACGTGAAAAGTAAAGAGCGTAGAAAAAGTAAAGGGAGCACACCAAGATTTATACTAGTTCACCCCAACGTGTGGCTAATCCAGTCTCCCGAGAGACTCTCTCGAGCTACACTACTTCTGTTAAGCTTACGGGTTCTTAACAAACAGTTACAACCTGAGAACTCGAGTCCCACGAGTCTCAACAACACTTGCTCGGAGATACCGCACTCCAAGACTTCAACCCGAAGGAAAATACCTTTCCTTCGTACAACCAAGGGAAACAAGCTTCCCTTAAAGTGTATAAAACACTAAGGACACTCAAGAACAATATTCTCTTTTAGAGTGGATATTGAGTAACTAAAAACGCTCAAGAACACAACACGAACTTCACAAAAATGGCTCTCGAAAAGCTATGAATAATGTATGAATGTAATGCAATGAATAATAGGAGTTGTGAAGTAATGTGATGTGTAAAGCAGACCCAAACACCCCATTTTATAGTAGAAAAATAGGCTCCAACGGGTAGGAGTTGAATGGGGTGATTGGCACAATTTGTGGGATTTGATTAATATTGGATTTGCTGAAAATCAGCCTGACAGCGCTGTCCATGACTTAGACATCGCTATTTTAGGCTTAGTTTTTTGAAAATGAGGAAGCAATGGTCATGCCAACAGCGATGTCCAAATAGCCTACATCGCAGTTTTGGCTGTTGACTTCCAAACATGGAAAGTTTCAGCCATAAATTCCTTCCAACGGTCAGGTGTCTACATCGATGTTCATTACTTGAACATCGCTGTTCAGGCCTGACTTTGAATGGTGAAGAATGGCTTGACATCGTTGTTTCTGGGTCAACAGCGCTGTCCAAAAACTTTATGCCAAAGGCATTTTCTTTTGTCTTAAGAGGGACATCGATGTAGAGGGGTCTACATCGCTGTTCCAGATGTTTCTAGAAATCCAACCTTAGCTCAACAGCGATGTCCACTAACCAACATCGTTGTTGGAAGACTTAATACCAAACCATGGTTTTCAGCTGAGAACGCCAGACAGCGTTGTTGGTTACTCCAACATCGTTGTTGCGCTGGTTTAGCCAAACCCATGGCTGGTTTAGTCAAGCCGTTAGCCGATGTCAAAAATCCAAGTTCTCAAAAATGAAAACCAAGTGTTGGAAACTCTTATATAATGTATTTTATGTAGAAACCAAGTATAAAAACTTAAAAACCACTTCATTTAGGTAAAAACCACGGCTTGCCAAGTTTATGCCGTTTCACGTGGTTTTCACCAAAAACGAAAGGCAGTTTTTAATATTTTTTGTTGGAGAACTCTTTGGATATTCCCATAAGTAAAAACCAATCATAAAATCTTAAAAACCACTTGATTCATTTGGACGCCAAAAACCAACGCCGGTAACTAGCGCCGAATGCTGATAACCAACGCCGGAAAACAAAGGTTAAGGTTTTTGAAAAGTAATCATTTGGAAAACCTTTAAATGTGTCCAGAAGAAAAAACCAAAGTTAAAAAACCAAAACCATTTGGCTAAAATCAATGCCAATAACCAATGCTGAAAACCGAACGCCATAGGCAAACCCCGATAACCGATGGTTATGGTTCTGGTTTTGGTTGGGCAAGAACCAGGGGTTTTAGAAACTTAAAACCATTTATGAAAAAACTCATTTGATGCATGAAAACATATTTTGTTTTGAGCCATGACGTAGAGAAATTGAATGAGCATTTTACAATAAAAACCTAAGTCTTTAGACAACGTATTCAAAATGCCAATCTCGTCGTCTTTAGAAACGTCAATGCATTTCTTGTGCTTTTTGTTCCATCAAAGATCTTTTGCTATGACTTTGAATCTCTTCATTTTGTCCCATGTTCCCGACGGTTTGTCAATATCAAAACCTAAACGGAAACAAACATTGTCATTAGCAAAAAGTCAAAGTGAAAATATTTTCCAACAGTTTCAAAAGGCGTATTCAATTTGGAGTAGGTACATAATGGGAAAATATTTTAGGGAGGGGGATATCGGATATCAAATATATGATTCCTACACATGGAAATCCATTTGTAAGGTTACGCCTATAGTTCTTCCTCACTGTCATTACATTAATGGGATTCTAGCATGGAGCAATGGTGTTTACAGCTTCAAGATGGCATACTCCCTAACCTATGAACACTTTCCTAAACAAATTTCATATGCTTATCTTTGGGATAGGAGACAGATAGGGAAGATTGGATTATTTCTCTGGACATGTTTGAATGGCTTGCTTCCTCTGCCTCTGAATCTCAACAGGTTGAAGATTATTAGCTCGGCAATATGTCCCCTTTGCAAGGAAGATGGAATGGATGAGGATCATCTCTTTATCAATTGTGGGGAGGTAATGGCGATTTGGAGGTATTATACGGCTGCATCTGGTGCTCAGTTGAATAACAGCTTGTTGACAGTTGCTGAATTCTTGCTTGGATGGTGGCTCTCTTCAAATAAGACAAGCTTTGAAGGTAATCTCAAGTTCATTTTACCGGGAATTATCGTTTGGTCCATTTGGAAGAGCTACAACTCAATCGTATACTCGAAAGGCAATTGGAAGCGGGAGGACGTTATGATCTCTATCAACAAACTTCTTCAAACGTGGAGTTGGGCGCATAAAATTGATACAACTCTTTTGTATAAGTCTTATGTTTTTAACTTTGGCATTTTTACGTTTAATAGTACTAGGTGCGAGCCTGTTGGTCCCTAGGCAGATATTGTATCTCTTTTTATTCAATGCAATTTAAATTATATATATGTGTGTGTGTGTGTGTGTGTGTGTGTGTGTGTGTAGACACACACACACAAATATACTTCGTATATATGTTGTGGAATATATATAGTTTACATATTCAAAAATTTATAAAATAAGAGGTGATTTGATTTTTTTTCAAACAATTAACCTAATTTTTTTGAATATACATTTAAATCAATTTTTGAATATTTTTAACATATATATAAATAAAAAATCTGTTATATGCACTACAGTAATATCAATGGTATAGTGTTTGAATCTTAGTTAAAAGTCTAAAACATTATATTTTCAAAATTATTTACAAAACAATTTTGTAATTACGGAATACAAAATTAGCAAAATGTTTTAAAGTTGCACAAATTGTCATAGCTTATATGGTCAATAGCTCAATGTGTGCCTTCAAGGCAGTCAGTGGTTTGACTCCAAGCATTGTGCTTTTTAAATTTTTGTAAAAAATAAAAAAAAACCTGTTCGATGGATTAACCGGCCGGTTTTTCACAGAGTTTTGAATCCCCTTTTCCGATCCGGTCCGGGTTTTAAACTATTTGTGAAACCATATAAGTTTTTACTTGTATTCTAAGCAGCATGAAGTATCAATTGACTTTTACTAGAACTGCTTTGCCTTGACAAAAATTTTACTTTAACACATCTGACGAGAGTAACATAAAAAGAATATAACTTCCTGTACGTGCAAAATGCCCCTAACAAAACACTGGTACACTCTAATAAAAGGTAAGAACTCTAATGCTTAATTTTTATTTTGTTGGGATTCATTCATAATGGCAATTCCAAGCTTTCATACTGCATCCAATCTTTTGCACAAATAAGGGCCTCTACAGTTGATGGTTTCAACGAATACCCAAAACTGTCCAAATCCTTTTGTACGTTATTGAAGATGGAATCTGGAAGAATAGTCGAGACCGGGATACACAGAATATCAGATGCCATTTTGGAGAGAACTGGGTACTTGAACCTATTCATTTCCCACCAGCCTAAAACATCAAAATTTTGAACTTGACGCAAGGGAGGTTCTTCAAGATACTGGTCCAGCTCTGATTTCATATGATGATGGATGCTTGAAAAATCATTGACGTACACGTCCAAATCTGAAAAGCAATCTGCATTAACAACACTTTCTTCTTGATTCACATGTGGCTTTATATCTTCCACAAAAACCGGCGGAGGAAGTGATTGCACAAAGTAACCAAGAAACAGTTCATGCAATCCATCGTCAATACTCTTGATCCAAGTGTCTGCTCCACTCTCATAAATCTTTCCAAAGCTAAAGACCACATAGTTCATCTTGAACCGTGGATCCATAACAGCAGCAACAGCTAAAACAAGATTGCAATCTTTCCAATATTTGTCAAATGCCTCCAGCAATGGTTTTGTGAAACTACTAAGAAAGTGATCCTCACTAGAAGCCGCACGCATCAGCTCACGCTGAATCGTCCACACTTCGTGGAAGAATGTATTCGCCAACTGGTACATTGGGGAAGCTAATATGATGGCAGAATCAAAGAAAAGTTTCAGATATTTGCACAGAACTTCAACCTGCTTCCATTCATGCAGTGATATTGTCGCTTTATAATCTGGATCAAAAGCATTTAAGAAAGAAAAGACTTCTTTCAATTCTGAAGCAGCTGTCAGCATTTGATATGTAGTATTCCACTTTGTATAGTCATCAATGGTGAGTTCCTTCGCACTTGGAACTTGAAGCTTCTTTTTCAGTAGGAGAAACATTTTCTCATGGGATTCTTCTGTTTTCACAAACTTCACACTTTGGCGAACTTTCTCAACAATTAGTGTCATGGAGTCTAATGCATCTCTTGCGAGCTGACTCAAAACCCGAGCATAACAACTTCTAATTATGAGCTGCCCGTCGAGGATACGATTCTCGACGGAGAGATGATTCCTTAGATTTCTGACAACAGCTTCATTCCCAATTGATCGATCAAGAGTCAGAGTAAATATTTTGCTCTCCAAGCACCAATCAGTTAGGCAGGTAGTCACAACATTACTGAAAGAATACCCTGAATCAAGAAAGGGTACAGTGATAACATTAAGGAGTCGTCGATGAAACTTCCAATGGCAATCAATGAAATATCCGGTAAGTAATACATATCCTATGCTTTGATCCGAAGTTCTCATATCCAACGACAGACTAGGACACCCAGGAATTTCAAGAAGGAGGTTTGAAAGGCTCTGCTTACATCTGGAAAAGATGTTCATAACAAGCTTTTCTACAGTATCAACACTACACTTAAACTGTGGCTGAAGGGTCTGGACAAATTTTGCAAACCGAGAGTCTTCTACAATATGAAGTGGGTAGCCATGCTGAATTACCATCTTGGCAATCATAAAATTGCATGTTTCTTCAACAAAGGAAACATAATTTGCTCTGGAGTGTTTTCTTGGTCTATCGGTAGCACTAACACCAGCTTTGGAAGCAGGATTGTAGGGAATCACTTGACTTTTATCTTGATTTAGACGAGCCATGGGGCATATGCCAAGGGAAATGTGCCGCTTAAGATGACTGGTGCCTGCCAATTTTGTGCCAGTAACATAGGCAAATGATCTTTTGCACTGGTTACAGAAGGCCCTCGTACAGTCACCATTAATATCTACAAGGGTGAAGTGTTCCCAAACAATGGATGACTTTCTTCTGCGTTTATTAGGTGGTGTCTTGGAATTGGCCAGCACACAATTATCTGTAGGTGTACCCATTTCAAAAGTCCTTCAAGCACAAAAGAGAGTATAAACAAATCAAACTACATCTTTCTTGCGGATCAAAGTTCCCAAATCTTAATAAGATCAAAAGTATTTCTTTTGCAATATTGGCACTAGCAACCTTCTACTCTGTACGCCTGTATGTATCATTAGAAATAGTAACATGGTCTATTTAGGTTAGGCGTATAGTGATGTGAAAGGATTTCAACTAATCGAGAGTTAGGCCATGTAAGCACTTGATGCTACTTGTGTGGATAGAGCAATACAAAACCATTGCAACATATTTTCCCCTCCATACACAAACCGCCAAGAACAGATTTTAAACAGGAAAAAGATCACATTCCAGTAAATCGACAGATACGTGTTCCCTATATTTAATCATTATTAAATATGGACTATTTTAGTACGTTCTCATACCTAAACTTCAGAAAACCTTAAAAACCATGAACTATAACGGAAAAAAAAAATCGCCAGTACATTCAAAAGCAAAAAATCGAGAGCAAATTGGTTAAACAACAAACGGAAGCGGATTCAAATACAGGTATAAAAGAAATAATAAACAGCAAAGTGCTTGAAATTAAAAAGAGGAGAAACACACACAGAAGGAAACTTACTTCAGGCGAGGTGACGTCGAAATCAGTGGCTTAGTCAAGAATCTCAAGAGCAGCGACGTAGGGTTTAGGCTTTATGGATCAAATTTTTATGCCTTTTTTTAAACTCGTTTTATGCTCTTTTTAGTTGTTCAAAAATCGAAAAAGGAAAGGATTATGCTATGTGTACCCCAAGATTTGTACCCCGCAGTTTTGCACCAACATTTTGTGTTGGTGTAAAACTAATTTTTGTTAAACGCACCAACATTTGTGTCCGTGTGAATTTTTATTAACGCACCAACACTTGTGTCGGTGTAAACCATCGAAATGTTTGTGCAAATCTGTGGTGTACAAATGGGGTATATTTGTTGGTGTAAGTGTAGCATGGTCCAAAAGAAAATCTCTGAACCCTGAGCAGGGGCAATTAAAAAAATATGCTAGGGATACACCAAAGGTGTATCCCAAATGTACACCACCTCTTTCTTTACCATTCATTTTATTTTGTTTTTAATTTTAATTTTTTTTTGAATTTTTCTTGCTTTTTTGTGTGGTGATGGAGGGGGTGGGGGATGTTTGGGGTACACTTTTGGTATACCCCTAACATTTTCCAAAAAACAAATATTCCAAAGTCTTTCAGTCCATTCTATTTTTACAGTCGTACTAAGTATTAATATTAGGAGATTTGGATTAGAGATAAGGGATTAAGATTAGGATTAGAGGATTAGATTAAGATTAGGAGATTAAGATTAGAATAAGGATGACGAGATTATAATTAGGAGATTAGAATTTGGCTTAAGATTAACCTAAGACATATTAGCTTGGGTGGAATGCGCCTTTTTCCATATTAGCTTCTAAGCCCAATAACTTTTGTGAGAAGTGTTAGACACGAGTTCAAACCCTTTTGGATAGGGAGAAGGACCAAACTAGGAGTAAAACATATAACATATCTTCAAAGTATAAGTTCAAACTTAAACTCCTCTAAATAGAAGTAATTGACTTATTTATTTAATGCTCTCCATGTTCTCTTCACTGTACGCCTTTCTTCACTTTGAAATTCCTTTGATGGTGTTATTTTTTCCCAAGTTTAATTTCCATTATACTTTGCAATTTCTCTTGGATCGTTCCATTCCTAAGTTTCCATACCCGTTTTTTTGTTTGTTTAGGTTTAGGAATAAAATTTCTCTCTTCCATTAATCAAGTCCATGTATGGAGGAAGTTCTTCAACCAGAGGTGTTTTAAAAAAGGACCATGCTACACTTACACCAAAAAATATACCCCATTTGTACACCACAGGCTTGCACAAACATTTCGATGGTTTACACCGACACAAGTGTTGGTGCGTTAATAAATATTCACACGGACACAAATGTTGGTGCGTTTAACAAAAATTAGTTTTACACCAACACAAAGTGTTGGTGCAAAACTACGGGGTACAAATTGGGGTACAAACCTTGGGGTACACATAGCACAATCCTTTAAAAAAAAGTGTTGCACCAAAACAATGGTGCTCTGTCGCAGCATCCTGCCGCCGACGCACCGCTGCCATGTCCCCACCGCTCTCCCATAAATCTCTGTCATGACAGTGCCCTACTATGCCCATCACGCTTTTACATCGCTGCTAGCATGCTGCCAAAACACACCGTTTCCCCATCGAGTTTTCACCGCCATCGGCGACATTGCTAGTCTCGACCACTATTGTCGACATCACCATCACAATATACAATGTCATCATAGTAGTATTGTATTAACTACCAATACAGTGTCAAAGAAAAACGTATAGAGTGTCAAAGAAAAACATAATGTCAAACTTGACACCAGAGAATGTCACACATGACAATGCACAATGTCACAGATGCCCATATGTAATGTCATACATGTGAATTCACAGTGTCACACAAATGCAAAATGCCAAAACATGACCCAATGCCTTGCACCACGCCTGCCGGCGACCATCACCCACTTCACAGTTACCTTTATGGCGACCAAAGTACGAAAACATCATGAAACCATAATAAAAGCACATTTAGAAGAAACAATTTTAGATCAATTTTGCAAAATTATTTCTTAAGAAGTAAAAATATGAATATAACAACCAATTTGAAAGAAAATTCAAATACCAATATAATTATTTCGATGGGTGCCTCCGTTCTTTCTCTGCCCGCTGGCCGCCACTTTCTTCGTGCTCCTCAATTTCTTGTATAACCGGCAAAGCACCCAATCATCTAGTTGAGGATTAAAATGAAAACAAAATGTTCATTTTATTCAATATTATTTATGTACATAAATTTTATTCTTATTTCTTATTTCTTTGTTGTTTGTCCGTCTAGAAACCGCACGGCCGACTAGGTTCTCCCTCATTTGATTGAATAGCATCAGCATCACTTATTATTTATTTAATTACTCCTATTTAGAGGAGTTTAAGTTTGAACTCCTATTTTAAAGATATGACATATGTTTTACTCCTATTTAAGAGGTTTATTTTTTGGATATTCTGTTTAATATTATTTTCTAGGTTTTGATAAATGTCAAACGCAACGCTGAATAAAAATTTTATTTTCGATTCGAGAAAGTAGAGAGGCGTATCAAGAATTTTAGAACGTTCAAATTCAACATTCATCCCTACCTAGGATCTTTTTTTTTTTGAATTGAAGTGATGTTAAGATTCCAAATACTTGTATTCTTTTTGAGTCATAGGACCATCTGTAAGGATGTCAAATACTTTTCACTTAAACAAATTAATTTTGAAGGTTGAACTATTATTTTTAGAGTTAGTTGAAAAATAAAATTTTCTCTGCCTAAAAATATTTTTTAGGTTTATTACAAAACGTGTGTCAATTTTTAAATATCCTTTTAGATATACATTTTTTTTGTTAAGAAAAATAGCTTTTAAATATTTTTTTCGTGTACATCTGATGGATATCGGGTCTGATGAACCCGACTCTTGGCCCGATAAAGGCCCACAATCGTGCAAGGTAAATGAGTCCAGGTGCACGTAACGGATCATGCCCATTGAGGTGCATATGAGTAACGAAGCGGATGGCCCAATCATGGGCTGAACTGAGACGATCCAGTTCGAGAAAGGAACAGGACACGTGGCCCACACTCCAAATCGTGGGGAAATGGAAAGAAATCAAGACTAGAATAGAAGGGAATCACCACCCCAGGATCTCCATAAACCTTCCCATTATGTGTAACACTGACTTAGAAACTAGAGGTACTATAAAAGGAGGGAGAACCCGCCATTGTAAAGGGAGAAAAAAAGAGGATTGATTACTGACCCAATTAAGAAGATTATTGTGATATATATTTTCCTGATTCTTATTCCGTTCTTGGTCCGCCATCTGATCGGGTTAATCCCATCATTGGTGCTTTCATTGAGAGTTAACGGTGATACGAAATTGTGCGATTATGGCCGGACGAAGGATGAGATGTAACACCGCCGCTTCCGCCCAGTCAACGGTGAGGAGCGACCAGCCTGAACAAGGCATGGTTGTTCGAGTCAATGGCCGGGAAACGACGTTGAATAATGTGGCTAACATGATGGCCAACATTATGGAACGCTTAGATCGGGCTCTGCCTGGCCCATCTAGTACCTGGAATGTCCCTGCCGGGCAGCCCCGCCAGGTCCTGCGTACTGCCAGTACTCCCATCCTCCAGGAGCTTCACGATCCGGAGGAGGTCGAGAGGGAGAGACAGGCTATCGCTAGGCGCCAAGCGGAGGAGTTGGCCCGGAATAATAGGGCGAATGGGGATCAAACCAGGGCCGTGAGTCAAATCGTAGGCAATGGAAACGGAAACCCGCGAAGAACAGTTTTTGAAAGGATATCTCACCAGAGGGCTCACGTTAGTGAGAGGCTGGGGAAGAATCTGAACAAGGCACCCCAAGGCTCGGTACGACCCCAGACCAGCCAAGTGGCATCCTCTAACCGTGAACCTCGGCAGCAAACCGGCCGGGGTGGGAGCCAAGCGCCAATGCGGCCATTGGTGGTCTTGGACGAAGCGGAAGTTCAATGTCAAGCCAGGGTCGCAGTGATGCAATGTCTGGGGCCACAAGTACCGGAAGCTGGCGAGTTCCAGGATTTGAGACAACAGATCCATGAGATGCAGAGGAAAATGAACAGGGTACGAGTGTTCACTACCCGGACGAATACTCCGCTCGCCCCGGAGATCTTTGCAGAGCCATATCCTCAAGGATTCAATGTTCCGTTTTTCAAGCGTTATGATGGGGAATCGGATCCCCAAGAACACATAAATAGCTGTCCAGGTGATGATCGCCATGGATGCCAGCGACGCGTTGATGTGCCTATGTTTCTTGCAGACGGTTGATAGCAAGGTTGCGGATTGGGTGAATCACATTCCGGCCAGATCGATCCGGACTTGGGATGAGTTGGGATTGCGGTTCCTAGAGCATTTTGCAGGGAACTGCCGTCCCAAAAAGCATTTTACCCACTTGGCCTTAGTACGACAGAAGCACGGGGAGTCTCAGAAGAACTTCCTCGTCAGGTGGAGAAAAGAATCTAGGGAGGTTGAAGGAACCGACGATAAATCCAGGTTAGCCATGTTCACAGCGGCACTGCAAGATCGTCTCCTTCTTACCGATCTCACAACTCATCCCCTGGATACCTTTGAGGAGGCAATGGTTCGGGCTGGAAGGTATGTGACCCTGGAGGAGAGAAAAAGAGGATTGATTACTGACCCAATTAAGACGATTATTGCGATATATATTTTCCTGATTCTTATTCCGTTCTTGGTCCGCCATCTGATCGGGTTAATCCCATCAACATCGTTTGACACGCAATATTTTTGGGACTCCTACACCCAAGATTCCTTCAATTTATTTAAAATTATTTTTTCAATAATACTTGAGTGTAATGGGGAGCCTTACCCCTAATTTTCTTGTTGGACACAAAGCCAAAATGCCAAAAACCCTTTCATCAAGCACACATACTTGTGGTCTGCATGTTTGGGCATTATTGTCGTAATAATAAATTACTACCCCTGGGAATAATCGATTAAGCTTTTGTTTCGTAGAAGGTATTTAACACAGGCGATATTAATCCATTAATACCCTTAAGGATTAATCGATTCGCACTTCCATCCGTAGAAGAAATTCTAGACACACGACTCTAATCAATTTTTTTCTTCTTAAAATAATCAATAATTTAAACGTCTGGCTTCACCAGCCTTTCTCTTTTGCCCCAACGGTCTTATTCCTTTTACTTCTATAAAAACTCTCTTCCTCCTCCATCAAACATATATTCAAGCACTCCATTTCATCCCTTTCATATACACATCTCTTGCTCCATTCATGATCTTCAAAAATGTATACTTTGAGAGCTAGAAATATATTTTCTTGAGTGCAAAGTTATTTGTCATCCTTTAGAGTTATACTCTTTAAACACTACTTGCTCATTGTGTGAGCCTCTCATTCTTGTGTTGTTGTAAACTCAAATTATTCTTTGTGTTGAGGTTGCTAGGACTTGTGTGATTCAAGTCTTGTTGTAAGAAGTTGAGGCTTGAGGGATTCAAGTTCTCAAGTTGTAATCGGTTTTTCAAGCACCCGTTGAAGCTTGAAGTTTAGTAGGAACTTTGAGAGAGTCTCTCGGAGGACTGGACTAGCCACAAGGTGGTGAACCAGTGTATATCGCGATGTTCTTTTTGGCCTTGAATGCCGTATCCCGTAACCGTTTTGATGTGCCAAATAAATCTTCCAAATGTTACTAATGTTATTTGCAGGAAGAAACCAAACGCCAAACCTCTCTAACTTGATTAGCATCACCAAGATGTGCTCCTACGGGTTTAGAAACATTTGAGTAAAGGTAGTGATATATATTTAATGATATACCTATGCCCTTTCACTCAAAATGTTATTTATAGTGTCCAAAATATTCTTAGTTGGGGTTATTTTGAAAAAGGAACAAAAAAATCAAGTTTTGGAAAATGTCTCAGGTCATACGGTACCTTACAACCATGTCAACGGTACCTAGGTACCGACGGTAGCCAAGTGACACGGTATGTTTCACTTGGAGTGACACGGTACCCCCTATAATTGTAACGTTACCCAAGTACCACCGGTAGGCTATGGAGCGAAACACGCGACTGTTTGATGCTAGGTTCCGCTAGAGCCGCTGAGACTTTTTGTACTACACGATACCCATTGGCGGTAGGCTGTACCTTGGTCACGGTACCTAGGTACCGGACGGTACCCCCTACCGTGAAGGGTACCGTGGCCGTTGGCGGTTCTTGTAGCTGATTCTTAGTTCAAATTTAAATTACCCTCAATCACTCCCCAATGGTCCTAAATGTAAAAAACTCTATTTTAACCTTTCTAACTCCTATATAAATCCCCTTTAAGTCTCATTTTACATACAACAACATCCCTACTTAATCTAAAGCCTATTTCTATATTCTTGAGTGTTTCTTCTGAAAGGAAACCACGGTTGGGAGTGCAGCAGAAATACAAAAATTTAAACTCCCAATAGTGATTACAAGCTCAAGAACACATACTAAAACTATAACTAGAGATAGAAACTTATATCTTCTCCGGTAAATCGATATAAACATGTAGTTGAGCAAAGATGTTGAAGGAGCAAGCGTAGCCGTTCAAGCGTCCGGCCTCTAATTTTTACACATGAACAATCTCCGGAGTCTACCCTAACACTTGTGCTAGCAAGTGTTAAAGAAGTATATTAAATTATAAAGATTATTTTAGGGATAATATTAATCTTGTATATTAAATAGTAGAAAATATATCAATAATATTTTAAAGAAAATATTATATCAATTTTCTACACCCAAAATAATAATTTTGGAACACAAATTTTCTTCTCCCTCTTCCTCTTCAATTTTGGCCAAAAACTCACTCTCAAAAAGAGAGAAGAAACATGCATTTTATAAATTATAAAATAATAATGTATAAAACATATACAATTGCAAAAGTCCAAAAGACACATATAATGAAGTGTAGTGGGAGACAAAAGTCCCCACACTTAATCCATCATGCATAGTACGAAAATAGAAAGGGGATAAAAATTTAATTCTTCTCCTCACAAATGTTCAAAGTGTATTTTATTTGACATCAATAATTTTTATGATATAAAATAAAATACACAAAACATTTTAAAACAAGTATATAAAATATACTTTAAAATAGTTTTTGTCAAAATAATAACTTTCATAATTAAAATGACACTCCAAAATTAAATGTACACAATATATACATACACGAAATATTTTATATATATATATATATATATATATATATATATATATATATATATATATATATTAAAACAAAATTTTTATTCAAATAAGAAGAAAGAAAGGTACAGCGGAGGGGAGGACTAGGCCAATGCCCCTCTAGAAATGCATGAAAACAAAACTGAATGAGAAGTGAATCGAAAGAACTACATATGGTCATTCTCAAATTATAAAACCCGGGTGCTGATCCAAGGCAAGGTTTCTGGGCATTATTTTCTTTGGCCTTTTCCCATCTGCCCCAATTGGGCCGACGGGTCCAACATACCAAAAGTGCCCAGAATAACTTTTGGTGGTGACGATTTTCTCCATTGTGGTTGATTTGCGGCTGGGCCAGTATCTAGTGATCTCGCTCACCGTTCCAACTTCAAGATTTGGATCGTAGCTTCTAGTTTTAATCGTCCTTGGTGCAGTTCCCCTCTTCCCCGCTTTTTTGCTGCGTCTGTTCTGGACATCTTGGAAGTCGTTAGGGTCCTCCCTTAGGTTACTTGTCTCCGCTTCTTCATAGGACCTGATTTCATAGTGCTGTCCGTCCACCTTAAAAGATTGAAGAATAGGGCCGATAGTAGTTTGGTCATTACCTGCATTGTTAGTTACTGGTGGGAAAAAACTTGTGCTAAAAGAAGGATCAGAAATAGTTTCATCATCTCCTTTGATAGAAGGGGATAGCGTGCCATCCATCTCTTTCTCGAGGGAAAGAGTGTGTGCATCACTATTACAATTTTGGGCTGGAAAATCCTCCGTTGTTATAGTTAAGGGAGGGAATTCTTCTTCGTACTGTGTGCCTTCCAAATCTGTCTTGGGGACAGTTTGTGTGCCACACAGCTTTGTTCAATCTCGGAATTAGGGTCGATGTAAGTTGGATTTTGGATGGTCTCCTGAGCATCCTCACCAACACAGATTTGTTCAAGCTCTACCAACAAAGCTTTGACTTCAGCACTGCCAGCTGGCTCGGGAGCCATAGCATCCCTACCATTAACAATGGTGGTTGCCAAAGCTTCAACTCTTGCCATATTTGTATACTGGTCGCTTGCAGATTGTACCTCATGATCTATTTCAAGGGTTTCAGCTCCAGGTTCTAGTATCTGTTCTAGATTAATTGACTCAGATTTTTGATCAGATTGAATCAAATTTGTTTCAACCTGGGCAGGAGAATTTGTTTCTACAGAAGTATCATTCTCATTTTCATTAGCACCATCCTGATTCTGATATATATATATTGTGTGTGTGTATATATATATATCTCCTAAATAATATAAGACTCTACATAGGTTAACTTCGATGTTTTTCCGTTTATTTTCTAATGCTTCAACTATTCATAGTTTTGGTGGTCCCAAAGTGGTGAGATACAAAGTCTAGAGGGGGGGGGGGTGAATAGACTTTGTTACGAGTTTAAAAACTTTTTCGTTTCTTTTGAAAACGTGAAAATGAGTGTTAATCTAGAGTTCTTGTGAACCTTAGATTGTGTGCGGAAGTTGGTGGGTTATTAGAGCAGTAATCAATATGGATGAGTTAATTTCACAGTTAATATAATTGCAAGTATGAGTAAAGATAAAAGAGAGAGAGACAAGCAAACTTTAACGAGGTTTGAAGGTGGGGTAATGCTTCTACGTCCTCAATATCCACTATGTAGTTGGTTGATGAATAATCAACCAACAATTACACTTGTGTGAATTTTTGCACGGTATATCTTCGCAAGACCAATGTTACTACTGCACACGTGCTGGCTTTGTTGTTCCTTCGAAGGTCACGCTTCTTCAACAACTACAAGATCCGAACAATAGGATTTGCAAGGTCAACTTTGAGAAAAGTTGATGTATCTTGTTTTTAATCAAGAAGTTTGATTAAAAATTGTATCCTTCAATGTGGTGTGGTACTTGAGGCAAGGAAACCTTCAAAATTGTATCCGTTGAAGGGGATGGACTATCCATTGCATTTGCTGGCTTCAATTTTGAACGAAGAGTGAGATTGAGGATTCCCTTTGAGAAAAGATTCCCTTTTTCACAGAGTTCGTATTTTAGTTGTTGTTCAAGAATTCTTGACTGTAGCTCTTTATTGAGTGGAGTACTCAATTTGTCTTCTAGTGCTTGTTTAGGAATCTGGGCAAGCTCTTCAATTTGAGAAGTCCAGACTCTGTCTTCAAGTCATTTGTTCTTGAATCAGCTTAAATATCCTCAATCTAGCCTTTGAAAATCAAGAGATTGATTTTTCCTTACCAACGGGTAGAATTTCTTCATTCAAGACTTAGATAATTTTCTAAGTCTTTTTCTCACTTGTCTGCTTCTGAGAATTCCAGTCTTTCTTGAGGCATCTGGTTCTTTGCTGACAATTCCGGAAAAGTCCTTCATAGACTTCCAGGTGAGAAAGAGATCCGCGCTAGTCTTCCGATCAGGATGACTTAGTCTTCAGCGGATTGTTGCGAGACATCCGGTTATCATGGAGTGTTCCGGATTATAGAATCTTCAATTGCTTTGAGAATCCCTTACTTGTCTCTGACATTCCCGATCAAGAATTCCAATTTCCATATCACTGAATTTGATTAATTCTTCAAAGATTGACATCAAACCACAGAGTGAAATATCACAAGCCTTATTGGAAATCTCAAGAACTTGGTTTTAACAATATTTCTAAAGAGAAAATTACATTGAAAATTGGGGGTGACTTAAAGTCCTTATTACAATCTAAATACATCATCATCAAAACCTATAATATTTTTCCAACAATTTTCCCCTTTTTGATGATGACACGCAAGTGTTTAAGAGTTTCGGTCGCTTTACTGAGAACTAATTTTATAACTTTCTTTTAGTTTATCATAACATACAGCTTGTTAACAAAAACTCTTAAACAAATACAATTCAAATTACAACCGTTCCTAAACCAAGTCTTGTCTTGAGATTTGTGATATTTCTGCCATTTGCTGCTTTCATTTCCAGTGGATGTTGCTTGGAAGTTCAGATGGCATTGTGTTTGATGGATCTCAACATCCAAAATGGACACTGAGACCTTGGAAGCAACAACTCTCCAAAAAAGCAAAAACAAAAACAAAAAGAAATGGGAAGAGAGGAGGGGCGGTGAAAGGCAAGAAAAAGACTGAAGGACAAGAAAAAGTTTTGGAAAAAGAAAAGATTTTGAAAGGAAGATAAAAGAAGGGTTTTGAAAAGATGGAGAGAGTGTTGTTCCGGAGAAGATATGTGGCAAGATGCACCAAATGTCTTGAATATCTTTTCTTCTCACCAGGCTTTCTCCATTGCCGTCTATGAGGATGAGAATGTCCATTGAGGATATTTTTCTTGGTCTTTTTCTCAGACAGTGAGTTTGAAGACTTTCCATGTTGAAAAAGTTGTTTGTGATAGGAATGGATTGGAATGGCTTGGTTTAAATAGGAGGAGAAGTTGAGAAGGGGAGGTTCACGGGTTCCATTAGTGGGTAGTTGGAACAGTGAGAGTAAAAGAGTTTCAACTCCCAACAAGTTGAATTTTGATAAGTTGAAAGAATCTTTTACAGGTTACCAATGTGTTGAAACTGTTTCAAATGAGATCAGTTTCATTTGGTTTGCAAAACGTAACTGCTTTGGTTTGGTTAAGCCCAAAAGAGTGGCCCAAAAAAAATTTATGTACTAAAGGGAAATTATTCCTATTGGGTTCTCAAGGCCCAAAATAAAATCTATCATTTTTCAGTCCCTATAGTTCTAATTTCTAATTAGGACGAGGTAGTACCAAAAGAAATAAATTTCATTTTTAAAAGTAAAGTGGTACTAATTTTCCAAAGTCCTGTACATTATAAAAATCTTGAGGACCAGTACTTTAGAGCAAAGTCGGAAATGAACTAAGGATTGAAACTAAGTTTAGGAGGGCAGATATTGTAGAATACCTGAATCAGAGATCTCCAACTCTGGTACAAAAATTGAGGTATCCGTCTTCCATTGCTTAGAGTTTATCAGTAGTTCATTGCCAAAAGACAAATATTAGCCAAAAACAGTTAAGTTCCCCCTGAATTACATTCCCCCTGAATGTATGCGCTCATTAATAAATATCAAAAATCATACTTTAATGAAATATGTTCAAGCATAATTAAGAGATGTATTAAGCAATGTTTAAACCAAGAACTCATGTTTAAATAAGAAGGTGTTTTCATAAAAAAAAATAATGTTTTCAATACTTCCCCCTGTTTTGATGAAAAGAGCCTTCACTTCTTCTTGCGCTTGGATGATCCAGCAACCTCACCAATGCCTTGCATAACTCCACACTCTTCCTGGATGCACTTGAGGTTGTTATATCTCTCTTCTGTCTGGGAATCATTTGTGAAGTGGGAGGGAATGGTTCCTACTGCTTCTGTTCCATCAAACACAATGTTTTGATAGATGCTGGATTGAGTTCTCTAGATTTCTCTGCTGGGCTTCAAGTATCAGCTCCGTCATGTTCAGATGTGATGGAATGTATGAGAGTTCTCCTTGTTTAACTTCAATCGGAAACTTTGGAATTTGAGATGGACTTCTAGGTTGGACAATCACTTCCAGCTTGTGTTTCCCAGTGAAGGTGCCAAAGTGTCTGAAGAGCCTGAAAGCTTCTTTCTGATTGTCAGCAAGAACCTTTAGGTAATCTAGAGTTACCATCTGGTTTGCTGAGGACACTGCCAAGGCTGATCTGTTATCCATCTCGAGGAGTGACATCTGCTTCTGAAGATTGACTTTGACTGTGGCAATCTGCTGCTTGATTGTAGTGGCTTCTTTGAATTAAATCTGGCAGTCAGATGCATAAACCATCAATGTATTGCTCACAGACTTACTCAATAGAGAAATGATCTCTAGAGTTTTGTCTACAGATTTGCTTATCTCGTAGAGATTTGAGCAATACTTTTCTTCAGATTTTTCCACCATTTGGTTGTGCCTTGTTTCCATCTGTTCTATCTCTTGCATAAAAGAGGCATGCTGAGACTTCAGGACAAATTCAATTAACCCTTGGACCTTCCTTGTCCAGGTTTCCGGTATCTCATCCGGAAGTGTGGTTGCTGAAGAGCTGTGAAAGTGAAAATTTACCTGATTTGAAGAAGGTACTCTATGGAAGAGTTGCAGAGAGAGAGATTCAGCATCATCTCCTTGCTCAGCTTCTTCTTCATCAACCTTCAGGGTCTTCACTGACTCTTCCTCTATTTCTTCATTTCCATAATTTGAGATTTCCCTAGAGAGGGAATCTCTGACTTCATCTTCAGCTTGCTGCTCAAAGATAGCTACTGGAGGTTCAGAGGCCTCCAGCCTAGCTATTTGAGCTCCTTCTTCAGCTTCTTCAAAGCTTCTTTGGACTTCAACTGCTTGTTCTTCTTGAGCTTCTTCCTCTGTAGTTTCTGGAAGAGGTGACTTTTCCGGATTCTCTCTTTACTTCTCCGGAATTTCAGGTTCAGTTGGTTTGGAGATCTCACAAGGGGTTGTGAGGATCTCTTGAACTTGAGATTGGAGGAATTGCTGAAGTTCTTCTTTTGAAGTTTCCTGATTCTGTTCTTGCAGGGGAGAGGCTGCATTTTCCTGGACAGCTTCAGGCAGAACAGTTTCAAAAGCAGGGGAGGTTTCCGGAAAAACTTGGAAATCCTCTGCTGTGGTTTCCATGTCAGCCTGTGCTTCAGTGGTGAGGACAGTGTGATCTTCAGTTGGCTTTGAGAGGATTGGTTTGTAGACTGCTGGGTCCTCATCATCAGATTCAAACTCTGAAGTTGGAGAGGTGGCCAAGTATTCCAGATGCAGATCTTCATAGGTTTTCTGCCAGACCCATTCATCATCCAGAATTTGCTCACAACAGTAGTTGATTGGCAGTCCCAAACATCTCTTGATGATATTCTCATTCTTTAGTTGTTGATCACATTCATGTAACTGATCTGCAGAGTTTCCAACCTTCCAAGCTCTCCAATCATAGTAGAGCTACATGAATTCGCTCACTTCATCATTAGTTTGAGCTTGTGATGGAGGAGATGGAAGACTCTGGTCTTGAGGAGTGTCAAACTGTTGAGGATTCTGTTCCTATGCAGAAACCTCCCCAATTGGTTCATTTTGCATCAAGTTATCCGGATTGGCATTTCCAGATGTAGAGGGAGAGGAGACTCTTCTTTTCTTCTTCTTCTAAAGTTCTCCATGAGCGGAGACTTCATCTTCTACATCTAGATTGACTACTGCCAGAGGGTGTGGTTCCTCATGACTGGGGGAGGGAGAAACCACTCGCTTCCTTTTTGAGGACTTCTTCAGACTTACGATCAGGACATTGTTTGAAGAGCCTTCATCTTCTGCAGCTGAACTAGCTCTATTTTCTCCTTTAGAAGAGAGATAGTAGAGCCAATATCTGGCATCATACTTCTTGCTTTCAGAAGCAACACCCAAGGATTCCAAAATGTACCCAAAGTATAATCCTTGACAGAGATATTTCTGCTTGGGCTTCCCTAAATGTTTTGAAACAGAGTTGAAGAAGTGTTTAGCCCAATTTACCTTTGTTCTGGTAATGAGGGCGTTGATGATGAATGCCCTTTCTTGAGTTATGTCATCTGCATGTCCTCCACTGCCACATTCAAGACATGCAATGACCAGTTCCAAGACCAGTTTGTAGTCATTCTTCAGATCGGTCTTCTTTGTTGGGCCAGAGGGGATTCGTCTAGAAATCCCAATAGTTTTCCAGTCCAGATTCTTGGACGAGAGCTTCCCAATTTCAATTCCGGAGTTGGGAAGATGGAGCTTTTTCTTCAATTTCTTCTGAGAAATCTTCACCTTGGTGCCTCCAACAGTGGACTTAATTACTGAAATAGTCCTCTGTGGATTCTTCTTGGATTGAACCGTTGTGACTTTTCCGTTCTTGTAGGAATCAAGAACTTCTTCTTCATACTTGAAGCCGATTTCCAGATGAAGGAATTCGGAGAGTTCCTGTGCAGCAATCATCTCCAAATAAGTTTGATAGAACGCCGGTGAAGAACATTTGGCTTCTAATTTCTGGAAATGAACATTCGCTCCAACAATCTTCATTTTCGCTGAATTTTGGTGAAAGAATCTAAGGAAATTAGGGTTCTTGAGAATTCTTGTGAGGAAGATGACGAAAATTTGAGTGGGCTGAATGGGCATTTGAGATCTGAATATAGTGGCGATTGGGTTTAATTTTGGGCGATTTATGCGGCTAGTGGCGATTGGGTTTTCAACTGTTCCCAAGGCCACGTGGCTACCCATTACTTTATCAGACGTGGTAAGTGGACTGCCACGTGTATCGCACTTAGTCTAATTGAATTAGACCAATTTTGTGAAGCAAGTCGGAAAACCTGGCTTCACTTAGTGGTTTTGTGAAGATATCCGCCAATTGTTCTTCAGTTGAAATGTACTCAATTTTGATATCCTTCTTTTCCACATGATCTCTGATGAAGTGATGCTTGATATCAATGTGCTTAGTGCGAGAGTGGTGCACTGGATTTTGTGAGATGGCTATAGCACTTTGATTGTCACAAAATATTGTCACTTCCTTTGTTTTGACTCCATAATCCAGTAGTTGTTGCTTTAACCACAAGATTTGAGCACAACAACTACCAGCAGCAATGTACTCTGCTTCAGCTGTAGATGTAGAGATGGAGTTCTGTTTCTTGCTGAATTAAGAAACAAGATTTCCGCCAATGAATTGAAAAGTGTCAGATGTACTCTTCTGGTCAACTTTGTATCCGACAAAGTCAGAATCTGAGTATCTCACTAACTCAAATTAGCTGCTCTTAGCATACCATAAACCCATATTCTGAGTTCCTTTTGGCTGAAATTAAATGACTTTCCTTTGGCTTTGACTGAAATCTAGCACAAACACCTACTGCATATGAGATATCTTGACGGCTTGCAGTAAGGTAGAGTAGAGATCCAACTATTCCTCTGTAGAGAGTTTGGTCAACATCCTTTCCATATACATCCATGTCAAGCTTGGTAGATGTACTCATGGGGACAGAAACGGATGACTTCTGATCAACTTTGAACATTTTGATAAGATCCCTTGTATACTTGGGTTGGTTGATGAGAGTCCCTTCACTTCTCTGCTTGATTTGAAGACCAAGGAAGTAGTTTAGTTCCCCCATCATGCTCATCTCAAATTTTCCTTGCATGAGGGTGGAGACCTTGGACAGTGTCGTTCTCCAGATTTCTTCCTTCTTCCATGGCTATGGCTTTGGTGTACCACTCAGCTGGAAGAGATCTTAGTAACCTTACATTCTTTTCTTTGGGAGAAAGAACGTGATTAAGTGATGCAAGATCATTCAAGATTTTGTGGAATCTTTCATCCAACATATCAAATTATTCTCCGGGAAGCATTTTGAAGCTTTTGAACTTCTCGAGCAGGACCTCTATCTTCTGCTTTCTCAAATCCTCCGATCCCTTACATAACTTCCCAAGACCTTGCCATATCTCCATGGCAGTCTTGAAATGCTTGATCTTGGAGAAGGTGATGGGATCAAGTGTCTTGAAGATGGCTGCTTTTGCGACGTTGTCCAGATTGTGCTTTTTGCAATCTCCATCATCTCATTTCTCCTTGGGCTTTGGAATGTACTAGACTACATTAGGATTGGTTGGGTTCCTCTCAGGAATCTCCATTTTAATCTTCAAGCACCATCCACATACAATCATGTAGAGCATAGAGGTGTGCTTCCATCATGATCTTCCAATCATCATAACCTAGAAGAGAAAACTTGGGCAAACCGTGATCCATATTGTTCACCATTGTGATCGCTTCTCTTTAATCTAAATGTAGATAGTGAGAAGTGTGCTCCGATACCAATTGGTGGTCCCAAAGTGGTGAGATACAAAGTCTAGAGGGGGGGGGGCTGAATAGACTTTGTTACGATTTAAAAACTTTTTCGTTTCTTTTGAAAACGTGAAAATGAGTGTTAATCTAGAGTTCTTGTGAACCTTAGATTGTGTGCGGAAGTTGGTGGGTTAATAGAGCAGTAATCAATATGGATGGGTTAGTTTCGCAGTTAATATAATTGCAAGTATGAGTAAAGATAAAAGAGAGAGAGAGACACAAACTTTAACGAGGTTCAAAGGTGGGGTAATCCTTCTACGTCCTCAAAATCCACTATGTAGTTGGTTGTTGAATAATGAACCAACAATTACACTTGTGTGAATTTTAGCACGGTATATCTTCGCAAGGCCAATGTTGCTACTGCACACATGCTGGCTTTGTTGTTCCTTCGAAGGTCAAGCTTCTTCAACAACTGCAAGATCCGAACAATAGGACTTGCAAGATCAACTTGGAGGAAAGTTGATGTACCCCTTTTTAATCAAGAAGTTTGATTAGAAGATGTATCCATCAACGTGGTGTGGTACTTGAGTCAAAGAAACCTTCAAGTGTTTACACTATAGCTCTTTCGGAGGAGGAGAAGTTTGCTTCTGGATAAGGAGTTTAGAGATCTCTCTTTATGAAGCTTTTTGACTAACTGTGAATAAGATAGCTTTTGTTCTCGTTGATGTTAGGTTGATGATTGATCAGTTGTTTACTCTGTGTTATCTCATGTATCTCATCATATTTCTCCAGTCTTCCATGGATGCTATATATAGCTGGATTGGGTAATCTATCCGTTGAATAAAAATAGACTATCCGTTGCATTTGCTGGCTTCAATTTAAATGAAGATTGTGATTGAGGATTCTTCATTGGAATGGGTGTTTGACATACCCAATTTTTTGAAGAAAGATTCCTTTTTCACAGAATCCGTCCTTTAGCTGTTGTTCAAGAATTCTGAACTGTAGCTCTTTATTGAGTGGAGTACTCAGTTTGTCTTCTAGTGCTTGGTTAGGAATTCTGGGCAAGCTCTTTAATTTGAGAAGTCCAGACTTTGTCTTCAAGTTATTTGTTCTTGAATCAGCTTAATTATCCTCAATCTAGCCTTTGAAAATCAAGAGATTGATTTTTCCTTACCAACGGGTAGAATTTCTTCATTCAAGACTTAGATAATTTTCTAAGTCTTTTTCTCACTTGTCTGCTTCTGAGAATTCTAGTCTTTCTTGAGGCATCTGGTTCTTTGCTGACAATTCCGGAAAAGTCCTTTATAGACTTCCAGGTGAGAAAGAGATCCGCGCTAGTCTTCCAATCCGGATGACTTAGCCTTTAGCGGGTTGTAGCGAGACATCCGGTTATCATGTAGTGTTCCGGATTAGAGGATCTTCAAAGTAATCAACTGCTTTGAGAATTCCTTACTTGTCTCTGACATTTCCGATCAAGATATCCAATTTCCATATCACTAATTTTGGTTAAGTCTTCAAAGATTGACATCAAACCACAGAGTGAAATATCACAACTTTATTGGAAATCTCAAGAACTCGGTTTTAACAATATACAGCTTGTTAACAAAAACTCTTAAATAAATACAATTCCGTTCCTAAACCAAGTCTTGTCTTGAGATCTGTGATATTTCTGCCATTTGCTGCTTTCATTTCCAGTGGATGTTGCATGGAAGTTCAGATGGCATTGTGTTTGATGGATCTCAACATCCAAAACGGACACTGAGACCTTGGAAGCAACAACTACTCTCCAAAAAAGTAAAAACAAAAACAAAAAAAAAGATTGGGAGGAAAGGAGGAGCTGGTGAAAGGCAAGAAAAAGACAGAAGGACAAGAAGAGGTTTTGGGAAAAAGAAAAGATTGTAAAAAGGAAGATAAAAAAGGGTTTTGAGAAAGAGTTTAAAGAAAGAAAAAGATGGTGACTAGGGAAGCAAAAAAGTTTTGAAAATAGTAGAAGAAGGGAAAAAGGGAGACTTGAAATCAATTTGAAATAAATAAAAAAAGAAAGAAAATATTAAAAATAAAATTTTGAAGAGCAAAAAATAGAAAAGGAAAAAGAAAATTTTTAAAAGAAAATTAGAAGAAACGAAAATGGAGAGAGTGTTGCTCTAGAGAAGATATGTGGCGAGATGCAAAAATATGCGAGATTCCCACCAAATATCTTCTCTATTGCCGAGATTTCCACCAAATATCTTGAATATCTTTTCTTCTCACCAGGCTTTCTCCATTGCCGTCTATGAGGGCGAGAAAGAAAAATTTCTCCATTGAAGATATTTTACTTGGTGTAGTACCAAAAGAAATAAATTTCATTGAAGATATTTAGGACGAGGTAGTACCAAAAGAAATAAATTTCTCCATTGAAGATATTTAGGACGAGGTAGTACCAAAAGAAATAAATTTCATTTTTAAAAGTAAAGTGATACTAATTTTCCAAAGTCCTGTACATTATAAAAATCCTAAGTTTAGAGCAAAGTTGGAAATGAACTAAGGATTGAGACTAAGTTTAGGAGGGCAGATATTGTAGAATACCTGAATCGGAGATCTCCAACTCTGGTAAAAATTGAGGTCTCTGTCTTCCATTGCTTAGAGTTTATCAATAGCTCATTGCCAAAAGACAAATATTAGCCAAAAACAGTTAAGATCCCCCTGAATGTGTGCGCTCAATAATAAGTCTCAAAAATCATACTTAAAGGAAATATGTTCAAGCATAATTAAGAGATGTATTAAGCAATGTTTAAACCAAAAACTCATGTTTAAACTAGAAGGTGTTTTCATCAAAACATAAATAATGTTTTCAATACTTCCCCCCTTACCGTCATGCATCACATAATGTTTTAATTTGTTAAAAAAATCATTTTTGTTGTGAAAAATCATTTTTATAATAATCATAATCAATTGGTATCAAAAATAGGATTTTAGAGCTCAAAAATAGCAATTTCAGACAAATTTTCGGACCAGAGTTTCGGAGGATCGATCCAGCCCTCTGGATCCATCCAGCTAGAAGAAAAACTCCCAGAGGATCGATCCAATGAAGGGGATCGATCCACTCTGTGGATTTTCAGCCACTGTTCATTCGTCTTCAACCTCGGTCCACTTAGAATTATTAAAACATATTTTTAACATCAAATTCAAGGTTTATGATTATTGGTTCTTCAAACATGTCAAACACAAAACTCAACCAAATGACCATTTATGAACGTAGAAACGACCTATATGAACATTCTAGTCATTAGATATATCTACGGTCTTACCTTGAAGCGTAAGGGAGGTTTTGAAGATTCTCCGGCGAAACTTCCGACGACTCTATCTCACTGCTCCGGCGACCTCACACAAAGATGACAGCACCACTGCACTCTACTCTCAGCAAGGAACAATATAGAAGGAAGAATGAGTTGTTTCGGTGATGAAATGAGGGAGTTGGGTTGTCCTTAAATAGCTCAGGGAAGAAGAAGAAGAAGACACAGGTTTGCAGCTTCCGTGATTGAGCGACGAATTTGGAATCGGCGTAATTGAACAGGGCGCCGTTTGGTGTGTAGTCCCTGATTGGGACTAATTTTGGTCCCAGTTGGGGTACACTTTTTAGTCCAACTTTCTCCAAATTGAAATCCGATTGAACCGTTGGGGTCAGACAGTCAAACTCTACATAATGATATAATTTTCATTATTTATTGACAAACTTTAGAATTTACTTATTTTTGGATCCTTCTTAGTAATTAATTAATTATCAATTATTTAATTCTAATAGGCCTATTTTCGGGGCGTTACATTTCTCTCCTCCTTAAAATAATTTCGTCCTCGAAATTACCTGAGTCATTGGTTGAAGAGATTCGGATATTGCATCCTCATTGACTCTTCGGTTTCCCATGTTGCCTCTTTAGTCGAGTGATTCCTCCATAGCACTTTTACTAAGGGTACAAATTTGTTTCTCAATTGTTTGACCTCTTGTGCTAAAATTTGTACAGGTTCCTCCTCATAAGTCAATTGTTCGTCAAGAGTTACAATTCCCTCAGTAAAGATATGCGATGGATCAGAACGGTATCTTTTCAACATCGATACATGGAATACGTCATGGATCTTGTTCAGTTCTGGTGGAAGTTCTAACCGATAGGCTACTGGACCCACACGTTCAGTGATTCGATAGGGTCCAATATATCTCGGACTTAGTTTTCCCTTTCTACCAAACCGTAACACTTTCTTCCACGGTGAGACTTTCAGAAACACCTTGTCATCAACATTATATTCGATCTCCCGATGTTTTAAGTCGGCATAAGATTTCTGTCGATCGGAAGCCACCTGCAGTCTTTCTCTTATTAGACGAACCTTCTCTTCAGTTTCACGGACGAGATCGGGTCCTTCAAGCTTTTGCTCGCTTAATTCTGTCCAGCATACTGGGGTTCTACAGCGTCTCCCATACAAGGCTTCGTACGAGGCCATTTGGATACTCGCTTGATAACTGTTGTTATACGCGAACTCCATTAGCGGTAAGTATTGTTCCCAGTTGCTTCCAAAATCAATTACACATGCTCTCATCATATCTTCAAGAATTTGAATTGTCCTTTTAGATTGTCCGTCAGTTTGAGGATGAAATACTATATTAAAGTTAAGTTTAGTACCTAAGGCTTTCTGCAAACTCTTCCAGAATTGGGACGTGAATCGCGGGTCACGATCAGAAATGATAGAAAAAGGTACACCATGTAATCTTACGATCTCACGGATGTAAAATTCTGCCAATTTCTTCAAAGACATATCACGTCGAATTGGGATAAAATGAGATGACTTGGTTAATCGGTCAACTATTACCCAAACAGCGTCATTCTTCTTGGCTAATAATGGAAGTCCGATTACGAAGTCCATCGTAATTCGTTCCCACTTCCATTCAGGGATAGTAGATGGATGTAATAACCCACTTGGCACTTGGTGTTCAGCCTTAACTTGTTGACAAGTCAGACATCGTGTTGTAAATTCAGAAATTTCTCGCTTCATTCTGGGCCACCAATAAGTCTTCTTCATATCTTGGAACATTTTATTACTACCAAGATGCATGGTATAAGTGGCTTCGTGAGATTCACGCATTAAACGTTCCCTCACTTGGCCACTAGGAATTACCAAACGATCCTTGTAGAATAAAATTCCATCATTCACCGTGAAATCTTGTCTCTCCCCCTTAGAGACAAGTTCACAAGTCTTCAAACAGTAATCATCACGTTTTTGTGTAGCTTGAATTTCGTTCTCAAGAGTAGGTTGAACTCGGAGTTCGGCTATCATCTTTCGGCTGAATGCGTCAGCAACTACGTTAGCTTTGCCAGGGTGATAGTCAATGTAGCAATCGTAGTCTTTGATCAATTCCAACCATCTTCTCTATCTCAGGTTCAATTCTTTTTGAGTTAGCAGGTATTTTAGACTTTTGTGGTCTGTGTGAATATATGTCGTCTCTCCAAAGAGATAATGACGCCATATTTTCAGAGCAAATACAACTCCTGCTAACTCAAGATCGTGAGTAGGATAGTTACATTTGTGAGGTTTCAACTGTCTTGATGCGTATGGCACGACTTTTCCGTCTTGCATGAGTACACATCCCAAGTCATTATGAGATGCGTCACTAAAGATTGTGTAGTCTACACCTGGTACTGGTTGGGTCAGCACAGGTGCTTCTGTCAGTCATTTCTTTAGTTTCTCAAAGCTTTGCTGACATGCATCGGTCCATACAAATTTCACATCTTTTCTCAGAAGTTTGTTAAGTGGAGTTGCGATCGAGGAAAAGCCTTCAACGAATCGTCGATAGTATCCAGCTAATCCAAGAAAGCTTCTCACTTCACGAACATTCCTTGGAACCTTCCACTCGGTGATGGCAGATATTTTACTGGGGTCTACCTTAACANGTGTCTTCTCGTTGGCTACTCCGACTCGGACTTTGCCGGTTGCAAATTGGACCGCAAAAGTACAAGTGGGACTTGCCACTTACTTGGTAGTTCTTTAGTTTCATGGTTTAGCAAGAAACAAGTCAGTGTTGCGTTATCCACAACCGAAGCGGAATACGTTGCCGCCGGTAGTTGTTGTGCTCAAATCCTTTGGATGAAGCAACAACTCGTGGACTATGGCCTTAGTATCAGTCACGTTCCTTTTTGTTGTGACAATACTAGCGCCATTAGCTTGACGAAGAACCCCGTTCTTCATTCAAGGACGAAACACATTGACATTAGGCACCATTTCATTAGAGATCATGTTCTCAAAGGTGATGTCGAAATTGAGTTTGTTGAAACACACAACCAATTAGCCAACATTTTCACAAAACCTTTAGAGAAAGAGTCGTTCTTCCGCATTCGTAGCGAACTCGGAATCCTTAACTCCATGATGATCTAATTTGTGCATTTTATCATTCTTTTATTGTTACTGGAACGTTTACTAACTTGAGCGTCGGAGGGTTTTCTAACTCTTTTTTGCAGGGACGGTTCGAAGTGAAGAACTCTGGAAATCAGGGGGAACCAGCGATGGGTAGGCCATACCATCGCTGGGAGGGAAGTTTCTATTTTTTCCAGAACCCCTCTTCCCATCGATGGGTGCTTCTTCCCATCGATGGGTAATTGACTCTAATTTTTTTAAAAATTTTTAACAGATTTCCAGAACACCTTTACCCATCGATGGGTAGTTTATCCCATCGCTGGGTGAGTGCGTGCTTTTGTTTTAGAACCTCCCAACCCATCGATGGGAAGTTCCTCCCATCGCTGGGTTTTGACACTATTTAAAAAAAAAAAAATTCTTTAACGGATTTTCAAAACTACCAAACCAGCGATGGGATGGTATTAACATCGCTGGGAAGGCCATGAACTTTTTCCAGAAGCCACCTTCCCATCGATGGGAAAATGCAAACATCGCTGGGAAGGCAGCCTTGCGTCCTTCCTTGCTTTCCAGTGGCAACCTTCCCATCGATGGGTAGATCCTACCATCGCTGGGAAGGCACCTGCTTTTCAAAAATTCAGAGCCGTTGGGCACCACATTAATTGCCCAACAGCTATATTTTTGAATCCAAACGGCCTAATCTCCCTTTCCCTATATATATCCCTCATATTTGCTCATTCTAATACACCATTAACATCATAATTTCATTCCTTGATCCAAATCTCAATATTTCTTCAATCCTTCTTCAAAAACGCCTCAACCATGGCCGGAGGAAGATCAAAGTCTAAGGCTTCCAAGAAGAAAAGCACCGCCGAACCCTCGAGCTCTGCGCCTCAACCGTTCCCCTACCTGGACGGATCGTTTCTTGAGTTCGGGTCGGAGGAGGAACTCAACCGGTTCCTCACGCACTTTGCCAAGCGTCCCATTTCTCCGCCTAGGGTGCTGCCCGAGTTGTACCCTCA